AAAAAAAAAAAAGAAAAAGAACAATTTACATCCCCTATGCCCAGCCCTGACCTGACCAATGCAGGGCACAAAGCAGTGATCACTGTTCCCCTTGGCCTCACAGTCCAGGAGGGGAGAGAAACCTGTCCCCAGACAGTGATGACCCAGCCCAGAAGGGGTGCCTGACCCAGCCTGGGAAGTCAGGAGGGGCTTCTAGAAGGAGGGGATGTGTGAAATGAGACTTTAAAAATGATGAAAAAGTATCCCACTGCACAAGGGACTTGAAAGAATGTATCACAGATTGAGTTCCAAGCAACTGAAGGCACCTCTGGGGCAGAAAGGAAATGTATTCAGAGGATTTGGGGTTGGTCACAGATTCCCAGGAGGGATTTAGAGAACCAAGACTAGAAAGCAAGAACTCTGGCAGCTGGCCAGCAACGGTAACCCAGACACAGTCTCGCCACCAAACCGGTCTGATGAGGACACATTGGTGCCCGTAACCACTGGGCACTGTAGTGTCTCACTGCCTCTGCTGCCCCAGAAACACGATGCTCTTCTCGTTAGCTATTGCTCGTAACAATTCACTCCACAACTTAGTGGCAAATGATAGTAATCCTCGATGGTTTCTATAAACCAGGATTTGAGGAAGGGCATGACTGGTTGATTCTAGTTCAGGGTGGAAACAAATGATGTAGTCAATGGCACCTGGAGTAGGGTAGATGGGGGCTGGACACTTGTCCCTCTGCAGTCTCAGAGCCTCCCCATGTGTCTCCACACTGGCCGGCTTGAGCTTCCCCACAGCATGACTGCCTCAGGGTCATCAGACTGCTTATATGGTGGCTGAAGGCTTTGTGGACAGAATTCCAGGTACTCAGGCAGAAGCTGCATGACCTTTTCTACTTCATCTTGGGGGTCACGCAGTATCACCTCTCCTGGATTCTGTTGGTTACATGAACATCACACATCCAAGCAGATTTGAGAGCCAGGGTCATAGGCCCCACCTCTTGATGGAAAGAGTGTCAAGCTCTGATCATAGAAGACCATGTGGGCTCGGCGCCTGTGGCTCAGGTGGCTAAGGCGCCAGCCACATATACCTAAGGTGGCGGGTTCGAATCCCCAGCCCAGGCCCACCAAACAACAATGATGGCTGCAACCAAAAAAATGGCCAGGCGTTGTGGCGGGCGCCTGTGGTCCCAGCTACTTGGGAGGTGGAGGTAGGAGACT